AAGAACCAATACCACCAATTTACAAATCTCCCCTTTTACTCCAATCTCCAATTCTGTTAGACCTCTACCTATAAGTTCACCTGCTACCCCATCAAGACCTAGATCCAACCCCGAAACTCCAAGATCATCAACCAATTCTACTTTCCGTCGACGTCTAAGCTTAGGTTCTAAATCACCAAACCATCCTCGTCGTCTTGATTGTAACAACATGGACACTCCCTGAAGTAACCAAACCAACCATTATCATAGGATCTTCAAATATTTCCCGAATTCCAGAGGTCAACCAGGACACCAAAGCAGAATCTTATCCCGGAGCCAAAATTAACCACATCATCGATATCCTTACAAAGATTAATCCAACATCAATACCATCCAAAGTTCTTCTCCATACTGGCCTAACAACAAGAATGAACCAGGTGAATCCATCCACAGACAGATGCTGGAATTGTTATCCCTCGCCAAAACCAAATATTCCAAAATTAGGACAAACTGTTGTCTATTTAAGTTCTCGAATACTTTCTCCCCTTGAAGAAAGACTTCTGGACAAAGGGTTAACCTTTATACCCACCCATAAACCATTTTCGATTGAACCAATTTTGACGTCGGTAACTGAAGTTCAGAGAACATTTAAATTGAATTATTATTTTCGCGAAAAACTTGGCCGCGGTAAACGAATCAAATTTACGGATAGGTCTGGCTGGAATCCACCAGATAATGCGATTGACCGAAATATTTTAACTATTTGCGACAATTTATATGAAGAAATTTCTCATTTGCCTTTGGTGAATGAGAAAAACAATCTTACCAATTTTGAACGAAAATCTCTCAATAATCTAAAAAATGACAAAAACATTATCATCAGGAAAAGTGACAAAGGCAGTTGCTGCGTCATTCAAAATCGCGATGACTACATTTTTGAAATTGATAAACAGTTGAAGAATCCAAATCACTATCGCCAACTTGATACACCTATTTTTATGGAAACTGCGCGAGAAATAAACAATATTCTACAAAATTTGGTAAAAAAGAAATTTATGTCAGAAAAGCAATATGACTACCTTTCCGCGTCCACCGAGCCTCGCCAACGACACAGTTACACGCTTCCGAAATTTCATAAAAATCCCGAAACTAAGTGGTCCGTTGCCAACAAAATTCCTAAAGGTAGACCAATCATTTCTGATTGTTCTAGAGAATCATACCGAGTTTCAGAATACTTTTTACTGCCACTAGCATGCAAACACCCTTCTTATCTGAAAGACACAACCGATTTTGTTGAAAAAAATCAAGAAATTGGACATTCCCGAAAACGCGTATTTCATTTCTTTAGACGTAACCAGTATGTATACCAACATTGACAACAATGTTGGTCTTGACGCCGTCCGTAAGGCATTTGTTCGATATCCATGTTCTGATCGACCTGATACAGAGATTTTAGATTTACTTAAACTATGTTTAACGCGCAATGACTTCTTTTTTAATGGAAAAATATATTTACAAACATTTGAAACTGCTATGGGCAAACGATTTGCCCCTAGTTATGCGAATATTT